GAACTCACAGGCTTTTGAGGATGATTAAAACCTGTGAGTGAAAAGGAGATTGTCTTAGGCACCTAGCAGCACTTACCAATAATTTCCCTCTCTAAGTAATAGCCATGAATTTTACAGTGATAATGAATCACAGATAGTGATTCACAGATAGTGATCTGTTAGTTAAGTATTTTCATCTTGGAAAATTCTCTCTACCTTTCTGCTGGCTAGATGAAGTTGATGATGGGGTGTCCATGGATGGCAAAACCACTAGGCAGAAGTCTGGATCCTTAATTCACTATGTATGGAAGAGCTGCCTGCCAACAAGGAAAACCCATTTTAGATTCTTAAGGAACAAGAAATAAAATCCTGTTGTGTCTGAGACATTATACATTTGGTATCTATTTGTTACAGCAGTTTAGCCTGTCCTATTTAATATATTCTTAAAAAGGTGAACCACATTCAGAAGTACCATATATAGCTGAAGGGGTCAGAACAAATTAAGTGAATGACTACCTACCAAATAGTGAGATATCCAGCCTTCTTCCCTCCTCAGTCACAGAAAACTGGCAGTAAGGAAGTTTCCACGCTTGGGGTAACTGACTAAACCTAAAAAAAATGACTATGGGTGAAAACAAATGGGAGTTTTTCCCCTCAATGAAATAACAGATAGCCTACAGAAAACCCTACAGTGAAGCCCACTATCTGACAGGCCACACCTATACTCAAAAAGCTTTCAAAAAAAATGTTTTTTTGTCTCACTGAAAAATACGAGTTGATAACCAAGGATTAAAAATACAAAACTATTTTAGGAAAAACACTAGTATCATGGCAGAAAACAAATCAAATGATAATAAAACTTGAAACAATTCAGGAAGAAGACCCACAACAATAACTAAAAAATAAACACCTGTAATTAATGTCCTCTGAGATAGAAATTATGAACCCATGAAACAAAAAGAGTATATTATTTCTGATTAAAAAAAGAGAGAGAGAGAGAAATAAAGAAATATTCTGGGGAAGGGATAAAAAGGGGGCTTTTGGCATCTCTTCGAAATGGGATTCTGTGACCGGCAGCTGAATCTCAGGCTGCTGAAGAAACACAATTACAACATCCTGCAGGTTGTGACAGAGTTGCTATAGGTCACAGCCACCGCTACTGAGGAGGGGCCTCGTATTAAATCACTCTGCCTGCTTCTCATGGGTGATCTTTATTCTGTCCTTGGGCGTAGGGGAGGAAGCCCTGGCTTATTTT